CTATCCGCATAGATCTCCTAAAGCCAAGAGATGCAATAGCGAAGGCCAAACTAACTCTATTTCTGAGAGATGGGCAGCTATTTGAACGCATATAAACAGAGCAGCAAACATGTAACCTGTAATCATATTAATATATGAAAATAGAAATCATATCAATACCAACACAGAAATTCTATTAATACCAAAACTCACAATAGATATGTGTACCATACACACAGAGTCCCAAAGAGGGACGGGTCAGCCGAAATTGCTACGGCAGAAGGCGACCTCGTAAACGCTTATTGCAACAACATGTTATTCATAGCTATATTACGATGACATGTTCGTGTAATGTCCTTGCACACACGTCTTTCTATCAAGGCCAGCCTGTCCCCTGATGAAACTGCCACTTAAACAACTTGACATTAGCATGCACATTGTGATCAACTTCACTCTATGGAGTATCTGCATATAAAAGTCCGACTGCTATGACGATTTCCCATCAATATTATCCAGATAGACATAGGCAGTATAGCACCTGCGTGGAAATATTGATTCCCTGAATAAATGATGTTTATTATCACCATTAATCGCTGGGAAAAAATGAAGTAATTGTTCATTTTGTAGCTTTTGTGAATTGATTTTATTTTCTGAATAATGGAAAACCCAATGTTTATCATATAACAATACCTTGACTGACATGCAGTCTATGAAGCTGTTATTACACAATAACTTAATATATATTAATATTATTATAACAATAACTTCTCTCTGAGCAGAAGGTCAATGGTTTATCCTCACTTTGTTTGGATTAACAGTAGCAATGTTTATACAAGCATAGGGGCCATATCAAAGTCACCAAATACTGAACTGAGTTCACCCCCTCAATTAATGTCAAAAGTGTTCACTGGCAATATTGGTGAGCGAATTTTCTTATTTGTTGATTAATTACTGATTAACTATCAACGACGGTGCCAGAACAACTAACCACGTTGAGGGCTGGCATGCCAAAATGAATAAAACTGGACATTCCCACCCAAACTTGTTCAAGTTCATCAACATCATCCAGAAAGAACAATGAAATGATCATCAGCCAACTCCGAGCAGGTGGATGTCAGCCTCATAAATAATGAAATTTTTGTGCATATCATATATATCAAAATTTTGAGATGACCCCTGGTGCCTTCTATTGTTTAACCAATTAGCATGCCTGACTGATTTTCATACTGGGAACAATAGGTGGTGGCAAAGTGAGGAGATCCCTACTGTATCTGGGTGGGGGTATTCACATGGTATCTCAGAGGGGTAGCACCAGGAAATCAGCTGCAGTCCGGAGTAGTACAAGCAGCCACACACACATGCACTCATGTCACTGTATGAGTGCAGTAATCTTCCTACCCACTTTGTCCACCACCACGCTTCTCCCTCCTAAATCTTTTTTTTTTTATTGCTGATTTTATTTCATGTGGAATTCAGCAAGCTTGACATGTCTGTTCGTGTAATATGAATTGGTTTTGAACAAATTAAAGGAGATGTTCCACGGTCAGGGCACAGGCCTTACAGTGCCCCCATCTTTTGCCGATGTTCCTAACATTGTGACTAACATTGTGAAAGTAATAACTGTAGTTTGTGAAAGCAAATTATATCCTGTCAGTGTTGGTATGAGTTATTCCTTCTCTTTTCACAGTAAATTCCCGAGGACATGTTTTATTGGCCATAGAAATGTTAGCATGTTATTGTCAAATTGAACATATGGGTTTTGTTTTGCATCTAGTGCAAATTACTTATTATCTATTTGTATTCTTTGTCAACATCAAGATAAGTAAGCAAGGAGTAGAAATAACACAGTATCAATCTAATATCAAGCAGAGTTATGTCCCTATATACTACTTGGGCTCCCTATAGCCACTGTTTAGGCGGATTGAAACGGCCTGAAACAAGTACCTCAGTTCTGCGTGTTGCAGGAACAGAACGCGTTTCACATTCATCAGTGTCAGTTTCTTTTAACAAGTGCTTCTCCTGTGCTACCCCCCACGCTGTCCCCAGCCTCACCAGCCCCCAAGCTATATACAGGGGAAGGACACAGAGTTTGTGGATAAAACCTGATCCCCTGTCTTAGTCTCTGAGAAATATCATTTTGATAGAAATGAGTTACTATATTAAACAATGAGATAAGTAACATCTATGTTAGGATAAACCAGAGTCATTTTTAGAAGAACAGTTTATAAGACCCTGCCATCATAACATAAAGGTTTAAATGACAGACATAATTATTGGTCCTCTCCTTGGAGTTGGAACAGTGCTGGCTCTGTCATCACCTCGCCTGGCCAAGTACTTAATCTGTGGAAAATCTTGTCTTATATCGTTTGGAGTGAAAGGCAGAGTGAGTATGGTTGTACGCCGCTTTTAGCAATATTCCAGCAATATCACGGCGGGGGGACACCAGAAATGGGCTTCAAACATTGTACCCATTTCGGGAATTGAACCTGGGTCGTCGGCGTGACGAGCTAACACTTTAACCACTAGGCTACCCGACCGCCCCCAATGATCTATGGACCCAATCAACCATTCATTGCGTCATTAAAGGGCAACCAACACTATCATCGGAACAACAGGTGCCAAATGTAGAGTTTGGTCCCTTTCAGGTCTGTCGCTATCACGACAGGATCCTAGGGGGAGATCATGGCCTAACCCGACTGCCCCTTGAGTGAAAGGGGCAAATTGGATCATTTTTAAATTATAATTTCTTTAGAGGCTTGTGCAAGTCTAGCATATGGCCATCAAATGTTGTCCCCTTACCTGGCAATGCCTGGAATAGCCAGCCCAAAGCACATGATGTGGCAGTGAGGTTTTGGAGCAAGGCTATCCACAGTGAGGATGTATGGGACACAGCCTGGGGGGGAATGGTTGGGGGAAGGGGGGACTGGGGTGGGGGATATATGAGGTATTACCTTTCATTGTGATTTGAAGAGGTGGCACGTGGAAGTTAAGGAATTTGTTTCAGACATCCTGTTGTTCTTAATGACCCTGCTCTCAACAATATTCTATCTGTGATGGGGGGGGGGGGGGGGGGGTAAATAATTGGATCTGGACCAGACAATCAGCTGACATTGACATAAAACAACATTCACTCGACCAATCTTGATTATCGGAGCACCCACTGCTGTTGTAAACAGGTTGAAGCCAATATTACTGACAGCAACATGGATGCCCAGCTATCTGTGCTTGTCAACAAATCACTGAATAACTCGCTCACAGTGACGTAAAACAACATTCACTCTCTCACTCTTGTCTATCAAAGGTCACCACTGTAATAGTCGTGACCCTGCCATACAGTCACCACTGTAATAGTCGTGACCCTGCCATACAGTCACCACTGTATAGTCGTGACCCATACAGTCACCACTGTAATAGTCGTGACCCTGCCATACAGTCACCACTGTAATAGTCGTGACCCTGCCATACAGTCACCACTGTAATAGTCGTGACCCTGCCATACAGTCACCACTGTAATAGTCGTGACCCTGCCATACAGTCACCACTGTATAGTCGTGACCCTGCCATACAGTCACCACTGTATAGTCGTGACCCTGCCATACAGTCACCACTCATCATCACAGATCATTGTCCACTCAATGCAATGGGTAATTACAGCTGTTAGTGCACAGTGTCCAGGGTCAAAGATTGTCCTCCAGGACTTGAGAGCACACGAGGAGTGTGTTTAATCAGGCACATTTCCTAACATTAATATTGAAGATAGGTCTTTCAGCAGTCATTGTTGGGGACTTGTGTTGTTGATATACGGCCTTAGAGAGACCTTTTACGTTGACGCGAGTGATGGCGTCCTGGTAACAGTATCAATAATATTTGAAAAGGATTTGAAATATAATGATGGAATTATTTGCCTGGTTTGGTACACACTTCCAGATATAGTGATGCAGTAAGCCTTATGTTAGACAATAAAACATAGAAGCTACTCAAAAGGAATGTTAGAGCACCCAATTCTCTCATATTCCTATAGTTAATCTGTCATGGCAATACAGATTAACGTATTCAACGTAATAAGCGCCCAGGGCGCTCTCAAAATAAGAAATAGAGAGCTCTTTTTAGAATATAATTTTGGTGAAAGAGTTGAAAGATCGTAAATTTCGTTTTTTATGTTTACAGCCTGAAATGATACAAAAGAAAGGTCTGTGCGTATTATACATGAAAGATATATTTTTCCAGAATTTAATTGCCCGTAATTAAGGGTGCATATAACACACGAGTGCGTATCATACATGAATAAATAAGTCTTGTGTATATTGATCAATCGGAAGGGTACTAATTGGGATTGTTCACTAGCCAATATATTAGCAAATATCGCTGTGGGCGCTTATTAGAGCGGGGCGCTTATTACGTCGAATACGGTAACTATAGTTATGTGAAAGATTCAGGTAAGCCTAACTATGAGTAGTATAGTTATACTACATGAACACTGGACAGTTTTGTCCAACATATTGCATAAAGTGCTTGTTTTAATTTTTGATGTCCAAAAAGATTTCACATGTTATTAGCATGATTAGATATGGTTCAACGGAATTTAACATGTAAGATCTGATTATGTAACTTAGATTACCTAAATTTAAACATTAGGAAGATTGTGTAAATTTGAATGATGATTGTGTTAATTAGATAAAATAGACTGCTATTTTCGTAGCTGAATCTGACACGTTATTTGACTTTGAATTATTCAAAACATTCCTGGGACATATGCTAGTTTGAATTTCATATTAATTCACCCAAGTGAGTTTTGGGTATAGTTTTGCAGCCTAGCTTTAGCAAACTGTATGTGTTGGGGTTATAAACGTAGCAAGTGTGCTGTCCTTGAAATAGTATAGCGCTCTTAATGAACAAAGTGTTATACTCAATTAGTTTTTGCTTTTCAGCAAAGAGTTTCGAAAAATAATTGATAAAGTACTTTGCTTATTTAAACTTATCTCTTAAGTTTTTGACTATTTTTTCTACTGCTGTATTTGCAGGAGGACCCTGGTACCGACTGGATCTGGGACTGGTCAAGTCGCCCGGAAGTGCTGCAACCCGGGTGAGATTACAAACTCTGCCCAACATTCCTAAGTGTTTTCCTTTCAATCGTGATGTGATCAAGCTTCAGAACATAAATCAGCACACACAGATTTATCTAGGCCAGCTCAGAGATCCGAATTATCCCCAATCATCATTAAATATACCAAGTGGGAGTTAAAATGTTCCTATTTTGTGTAGAGTGAGTGAGTATGGTTTAAGCCGCTTTTAGCAATATTCCAGCAATATCACGGAAGGGGGACACCAGAAACGGGCTTCACACGTTTTGTGTAGATTTAGTTGCAACTGATGTAATGGTCTAGGTGACTTGTATTCAACAAATAACAGGACACAAAAAGAGAGAGCCTTGATGTTAAAGTACATCTGAAAATATTACTTTTAAAAAAATCCCAATTTTGAACAAATAACCATAAACTGATTTTTTTTTAGGTTATTATGTCTTAAATTCAGAAGTATTTACATAACATGCAAGTCATTCATGGAAGACTAATCATTATAGCCTCTTCCTCCTGGGGCGGCCTGGTGGTTAAAGCACGCCAAAGGCCCGGGTTTGATTCCCCAAATGGGTACAATGTGTGGAGCCCATTTCTGGAGTCCCTGTCGTGATATTGCTGGAATATTACTCACTCACTCACTCACTCACTCACTCACTCACTCACTCACTCACTCACTCACTCACTCACTCACTCACTCACTCACTCACTCACTCACTCACTCACTCACTCACTCACTCACTCACTCACTCACTCACTCACTCACTCACTCACTCACTCACTCACTCACTCACTCACTCACTCACTCACTCACTCACTCACTCACTCACTCACTCACTCACTCACTCACTCACTCACTCACTCACTCACTCACTCACTCACTCACTCACTCACTCACTCACTCACTCACTCACTCACTCACTCACTCACTCACTCACTCACTCACTCACTCACTCACTCACTCACTCACTCACTCACTCACTCACTCACTCACTCACTCAAAATAGATTCCTTGACTTGAATAGATGCATGACATGTTTGATGCTAGGGTCAGTTTCTCATTGGATGTTTGTGTTGCCAGGGACTGGAACGGAAAGTTCCGCCACCCGACAGCGAAGCCCCGCCGCCACATAATGAGCATGAGGAACACTAAAGTGATGAAGAAAGGCGTGTTTAACTTGGAGAACCTTCCCACGCTGCTGCTCACCCATGCAGCCACCTTCTTTCTGGGCGCTGCTGTGTAAGTCACACTTTCTGATAACAACAACAGCAATAATAATAATAATAATAATAATAATAATAATAACCAAGTCGTCCGACTCCCCATTGTTCTCGGTGCCTTAGGTTTGGTACCTCCCAATCTTTTGACTGACATTGGGAAAGTACCCGGGTTCGCTTCCAGGAATACAGCCCTTCTGACAATCTGGGTAATGCAGAAGGCTGCAGGGTTGGGGAGTCTTCACATTCTCCGAAAAGTTCTAGGTGGGTTCGACTTTGCAGCGCTTCCTGGGAGAAATCCCATTTCCTGTCTGGGCTGCGTGTAGAGGGGGCAAGGGCCCTGAGCTGATGATGAGCCTGACTGTGCCAGGATCACCAGAACCCTCTTTGCTGCCTTTTTTGTGTGTGTGTGTGTGACTCGAGTACCAGAGTTAGCCGTCCCAGCCCGAGTATTTATTGTGTAAAATATTTGAAATTGTGATGATTATCTTGATTTGTTAACCGCTAACTTAAGTGGTTCCCATGGTTACCATGTCATCCTTTGGCTCCGGCTGCTGCTGGTACAACTGTTTCCATAGAAAAGCTGCAAAACCTTGGCCATGAATTGCTCCACTTTTACTGTCCGACATCAACTGGTCGCTAGTACATAGCTATGATGCACGCCTTCATAATGTCCTGCTGTAGTTTGACGCTGATTAACTTCACAAACTGCGTGAGAGTGTTCATTATTGTGTACATACCCCCGTTTTCGTAAAAGATTTACTTTTTTAATACAGACAACCCTTACTTTGGAAATGTATTTTTAAAACAGTTATTTCTTAAAATGAGTGGTCAGGTAGCCTACTGGTTAAAGCGATCACTTGTCACATCGAAAACCCGGGTTCGATTCCGACATGGGTACAATGTGTGAAGCCCAATTCTGGTGTCCCCTGCCGAGATATTGCTGGAATATTGGTAAAAGCGGCATAAAAGCATACTCACTCACTCACTCACTATTTCTTAAAACATAAAGGGGTAGAGTTTACCGCCTTCACCGTTGTTACTATTTTTAGACACAGTCGCCGAGGCAATAACTAGACCCCTTCGTGTTTACATTTTCTTAATTTTTTTCACAAAATACTTTTTTGTCATAATAGTGGGTGAACTTTAAGTAAATGGTTTGGGAACAAAGGGTTATGCAACATTCCACAGTGTTCTGTAATGTGCACTTTGATGGAGCTTGTGAAGGGGAGTGCAACATCACCATCAGATTTCAGTAGAAAAATGAAGTCATGAATCGTAGCTATGTATTACCAACTAGTGGATGTCCTTGTATGAATGCAAAGCATTAAATAGCTACAACTCCACAGCTAAGGTAGAAATGCATTTCCAACTGTTTGTATTTATTTCTATTTTTGTTGTTTTTCAGAATGTTCATGTATATCAAAAAGTACTGTAATCTGGCTGTGATCGCCCCTCCTACCATGGACTGATTGACGATGATTGACAGGTGTCAAAACACACAACTGGTCTGAGCTGGGTCCCAGCAGGTGATGTCAGTGCAGTCGACTCAGATACATCTCTGCTCCATGCTGAAGTGGGACTGTCTTGCCCTTGTAATGTGAATATAAAGATAATAAGAAAACGACACAATTTAAGACTTATAATGTGTGTAGCAAATGTAAAATATTGGTATTAGCTGTAATTGTTTAATTCTGGTATTTGTCATTGTAGCTGTGGTAATTTCATTTCTAGGGGGATTGTTGATCAGGATTTCAATTTGTTTTTGAAATATTTTGAAAGTGTTAAAAATGACCAGAAACCAGTTTCTTCAATCAACATTCTTAATTTTCCACTTCTTTTATTGTGTTTATGATATAAATATTGACATTAGATGTGGCAGAAAACATGCAATATATTTGTCATGAGCTTTGGTGCAAGTAAGCCTAATTTTAACTTAAATTTGGGGTCCTATATATTTATAAGTACATTATAATGAAACAGGGGACATTGATTTGTTTGGTGCCGATGCCAGAAGTTCATTGTACTTATATATTAAAATAAATAATTTGAAAAGCTCTCATTATCTGTATAAATTGCAATATTCAGCGTCTATGATTTGAAGTTAAATTGTATGGTCACCAGGGCCAGAAGGTTCAAATGGCCACTGTCCTAGCGCATTGTCTGTGAAAGTCAGTGTTGTCATTTGAAACCTACAATTGATGTTAAACCTGATCACCATGACATAAACAGATCAGACCGGAGTGCAGCGTGCACGCACTTGCTTGAGGAACACTAAACATTTATGCATCAAGTGTACAACTCGGTGTGATGGTATTACAACACTGTTACAACTCATTTGGGAATATCTGTTCACCAAAGGTACATCACTAACAAATGAAATAATTTCCAGGATTATTGTTCAACGTGTTAGCTTTAAATGCATGCTCTTTTCCAATTGCTGTATCTATGCTCGCTAACACATATACTCAACATTCTATTATATGGTTTGATGTGTAATTTTGCTCACTGTCACGTGTGTGTGTTTTGACATATTACACTTTGTTTCACCCATGATTGCCACAAAGTTTACATCTCTAAACCCCTTATGCCCATAGAGTCGTCATGATATGGCTGAAACATAGCTGATGTGACGTTAAATTTTACCTCACTCACTCACTACACCTGTAGAGCTGTAATGAGCTTTTAAGATAGTCTTATCAGTGATGCCAATAGGACATGCTTCTAGATCCCAGTCTAACCCTGAAACTATTTATCTTTGCACAATCATTAATTTGAAGCAGTGATTTGTTCATTACCGGTACCTAAATTTGTTCAAAACTTGACTCAGATTAAAGATTTAATCTATGATGTTTCAAATACCAAACACACTGGGTAAGCTGTAACACATCTTGGCTGTATTTTCTCACGAATGTTTACTTGAGTTTGTGTTCTAAGCATTATGAAGCAGGTCTGCTAACATGGTGAAAAGCTTGTCAGGGATCATGTTCATTGCAGTCTAGTTTGTAAGTTCAGTGTTCATGTGTTGTATTATAACACACAGCTAGCATGTGGTTAGAATCATTGCCTACTAAAACTATTTGCTGCAACTACTTGTCTTTCAATATAAGCCGCAAATTTTCATATTCGCTTATAGACCATGCTTTAACAAGACAAGGATATTATGATACAGTTGTGTTGTTAAATCCCCATGTTATAAATATTCATACTAATTTTCATCATGATCGATTGTTTCAAGAAAATCGTTTACCATTGTATCTGTTTCATGAAAGCTTGTTCACAAGAGAAGCATAGCACAATTTTCTTTAAATATATCATGAATTCACAGTTTCATTACTGGAATATGTGATGCATATTTCACCTGATTACAGTATAGTTACTGGAATTCAGTGTGATATTTGGTTGACTTAGGTTTTCCTTGTGAGTTTGAAAATTGCGCTCTTTTCAAATACCTTGATAAACCAGGAGCCTGTGATGAATGGAAGGGAGGTAACTCTAGACTAAACTAGCACTGAAATTCTGAATCCATAACAGCATTATATAGTTGTCGTCAACTCACCAGGATCACAATGCATTTGACTAGAATAGCAGTGTATACTAGACTCCTTGTGTTCCCTCTTCTGCCGCCAACTAGCCCAGGGATTTGTCACAGCTGCAAGTTGTCAGTGTTTTGGCGAAGTAATTGTTTAGATTTGTTTCCAAGTGTTGATTGTTATGTATAATGTTAAAATATGACTTAGCTTAGGATTATATTTAGTCATACTGGAATTATGTACATGTACTTTATATGATTAGATGTAGATTTAGTAACAACACTGGGTTTTCTTAAAAGTTGGCATGTTGTTGGGGCGAGGTTTGTTTGTTCCTGTTACCATGGTTACACTATCTTGGCACTCCGATTGACAATTCTTCCTAATTACTTTCATGTCACTATTGTCATGACTAGATATTGAACCTTCTGCTGGATGGAACTAAACAATTATGGAATGTAAACGAATTAAACGAAAATGTAATATATATATGAAAATATATAATTAAAATGCCTTTTTTAACAATGTGAATGTCCATATTTATGAGGTATTTCTTGGATGGTGATAATGGTTTCAGATATTCTTTTTAAAACAAACAAAAACATTTCTGTATTATCTTTATAATCTGTTTTGTGTTTAATGTACTTCATTGCTTTGTGGGGGCACGGGTGGCCCAGTCGTCTAAGGCGCCGCGATTCGCTGTGCAGAGTTGCGTCCCTTGAACATGCCAGAAACCTATGATTGTGGGTTCGAATCTTGGTTCGCCCCGATTATGTTTCTAGGTTTGTCAGCACCATACCCATGCTCGTGGGTTTCACCGAAGTGGTAAACGTCTGAGACCTGCATCACTTCGGGCTTTCCTCCCACATTAAGCTGACACGCCGTGATATGACTGGAATATTGTTAAAAGCGGCGTTAAACCCAACTCACTCACTCACTCATTGCTTTGTTTACAGTGCTATGTTTGCATCTAAAGGATTACTCTTGCAGACAAACAACCTCAAGTCTAAACAGTGCTAGATCTACCTTTTATGAGTCGTCAGCTTTTATTTCACAAACATTGTGTATTTTACTTTTATGTGTTTTGGATTATTGAAGCATTTTTTTAGTCTTTTAGTACAAGTATCCCAGACTTCCTTTCTGTGTATTTATTTTGTGCAAGTATTATGTTATCTGTATATAGGTTTGTCTTCAGTGACAAAATTGTTTTAACAACGACTTGTTTAATCTTTTAGAATTTATTGAAAGATTTTTTTCATTTGAATTATCCTCTCAAACTAGTAGTTGTGGTGTTACAAATGTAAAATAATTTCATCAAAATATGTGCAAAATGGAGAATGTGAAAAGAAAGCAAGTATTTGCATTCCAATAAAAATGAAACAGAAAGTAAAACAACTAATACCTCTTAAAAGAGGTATTAATAAAATTATGAAAAACTGCTTTGATATAGATCTGAAATGCATATATCTTTTGGATCCATCGAGCCATACTCAGCAGATACCTATCGTGACAATCAGCTGTCCAACAATTTGTCCTAGGTGTCCTGGTGAATGTTGCAGTCGGCTTGTTTGGTTGTGATTTGCGTTGATGGGAACGGGTTAAAAGGACTTACATATTTCGAAAAAATGTGGCTTCATAAATTGAATTTAATGTTAAGTATATAAACTGGTACACAAAAATATGAAATTATGATTGACTGAATACTCTAAATAAAAAGCTTCATTCACTTGACATCTTTTTGTCATTAGCTTTGAAGATGGGTTTTGTATGATGTTGTTGATGAGGATTTCGAGTTTGCCACATTTACATCAGGTTCTTTTAACCGGTGATCCAGTCCGGTGACTTGACACGGACAATGTGCAGTGAGACAATGTATGCTGTGTGCAAAGAAACACTTGGTACCATCGGCATTTACAGACTCTTTTCTCCGATATTGTTCTGCATGACAGCTAAGTTATGCAAAAGACATCCACTTTTTGGTCATTTTATCATCTAAAATATAAATACATATATGTGAGTTATATTCACATAAATCATGAATTAAACTTCACAAAATATCTGTTTATGCTCTTGTATTTCTTAAAAAACCTGTACTGAAAGCTTTATAAGAGTTTCTGAACGTCAAGTTCGTACAATGATTGATCTGATCTGGTTCTTGTCTGTGATTGGTTATTTCTATGGTGCTGAGCGACTCTGTCACAAAGAAAGTGTTGGTGCGGTTTATCGCATGGACGCACAATTTATATTCCTGTTTCTTGATTGTGCTAAATTCATTCCCAACTATTTTCATGTAAAGGCATTTTGCTATCCGTAATCCATCCTTGATTACCCAGGGAGTTATATCTCTGTTCTGTATGGCTAAATACCCTGGACCATTCGATACCTTAGCTTTGTTTTCAACCATATTGAAAGGCATGCTAGCTGTCCAATCAGATTACACTTACAATTGGGTTGCAAATAGGTCAGGTTATTTACCCCAATAGAAGGGAGATATACTGTTCAAAAGAAGTTAAGAACACCCATATTTTTCATTTGACTGCAGTTAATGTCATGGCATAGATTAACTAAAGTCTTATGAAACAATCCAGTGGACTGCTACTTCTTTTAAGCAGTATATAATGCCCTGGATCACTGAGGATGTCTTTAATCCTGTCTTACAGGGACAAGGTTCCTATAAGACATTAATAAACCACAGTAAACAACAGCATAGCCAGTGGTCGTGGATGGTGTACATTTCCTAGCTGATCGTAGGTTGTCAGTTTCTGATCAGCGGTTTCCAGGGAGACGGTCTCTGGAGTAAGTAGATGTCACGATTGTGCATGCATCTCGAACTGCAGGTTTTCCTTGCAATGTGTGTTCTTTGAATAATGTATATGTTTCTTGTATTTGTATTTGGACAAATAAAGATTGGTTTACTTGGACATTTGAAACAGTTTGACAACAGGCCAACTGGTGTACACGTGTAAAATCAAAATCAAGTAATAAAATGTCCTAGTCAGTGAGTGAGTGTTTGTGGTCTGTGTTTGTCATCAGTGTTTTGTGCTTCAGGCTGGGAGGTTGGTGTGTTAGTTTGTTGTTTAACACCGCACTCAGCATTACAGCTATATGACGGCGGTCTGAAATAATCTGGACCAGACAATCCAGTGATTGACAACATGAGCATCGATCATAATTTGGATACTATGACATGCATCAACCAAGTCAGCGAGCCTGACAACCGATCTTGTTAGTCGCCTCTTACAAAAAGCATAGTTGCCTCTTACGTTGGTTGGTTGGTTGGTTGGTTTGTTGTTTAACGCTGCACTCAGCAATATTCCAGCTATATGCATAGGTTGCCAAAGACCTGTTCTAACCTGGATCTTCATGGGTCACGAGATTAATACCAGGGTAGAGTGAGTGAGGCACTTTCAAAAATATTGTATTAATTTATGGTGGGGACACCAGAAATGGCCTTCACACCTTGTGCTTATTTGGGGGATCAAACTTCAGGAGGCATGAGCACATGCTGGTAGATGTGTACCATGGGTTGGAACCCTAGGGTGTGGTGCAGACAAACCAAGGATCACAATCAGGAGAGATCTGGGATTCAAACCCAGGATCAGCAGATCCATGGCTACATGGTTTGGCCACCCACCTGAACTGATTTTAGAGTCACAGGATCCTGCTGTAAGAATGATTTCAGTAACATACTGAACAGCAAAAGAAACAACTTTTGGATCAAATTTTTTAGAAAAAAAAGACCAACGCAACAATCTCATTTAAATCAGATCTTAGTTCTCGCTATCGCTAAACAAAGATCTGAGGACATCCTATTACGGGTCATGTCAGAATGACCTTTCATCCGACCAATCAAAGCGTCGCTAACCCGATCATGAAAGTGACAGTCTGAATGTGTTTTCTGATCATGCAACCTCGAAAATGTTAAAACGGGGTATTCTGAACGACAGTTACAGCCAGTACGACTAATTCCATCAAAGTATCTCTCGCTTCCATGGGATGCACATTTGAACGAAGGAAGCGTTGCACAGTACGTGGGAAGCACTGACATACAATCGCAACCATATATTAGACATTCCGGTTATGTTCGTTTGTTCAGTTTTCAAATTTTTAATCGAGAAATGTGTCAACATGCTTTTCAAGCGTAGTCTGAAATGGAAGTCGCCAGGTTGAAAATTTTGCCCTTAAGCTCGAGAAAGGTGCTTTCTCATTGGCTGATATCGAATTCTTGTTATTCGTTTCAGTGGTCGGTCAAAGTTCGCGAAAGGTCGTTCTGATGTGACCTGTAATGGGATGTCCTCAGATCTTTGTTTAGCGGCAGCGAGAACTTAGATCTGATGTTAATGAGATTGACCAACGCAATGGTGTCAAATCACATTTGTAGAGAGAACTGTCAGTTTTAGAGCTGAAGGTGGCATTACAAATGTTGAGAGAGGAACACAGAACATCAGAGAAACCCTCCAGAGTGAAAATTAACAATCTCCTCAGTATCCAGTCCAGGCTAGCACACAGATATTTTGATAACAAGGACACCAGCTATGGCGTCTCTAAGTTTGCTCACAGAATTTGAATCCAATTTAACACATGGCTGCTTTAAAGCTGAATTGTTTTTCTAGAGTCTTTTTATTTTCATCGTCTAAGCAAAGATTATTGACATTACACATTATCCCTTGAATTGGCCCTGGGGGAATTGTTTTGGTGGGTCAAAAGAAGGTCAATGGTCAAGGTGTGTGGTTACACATTCTGAAGAAATATTGATGCTTTTATCATTAAACTTGGTATATACTGTCTCTACGATTGGAGAATGCCTTAAAACGTTTTGGTCAAAGATCAAGGTCAGCATTCCTGTTTTTTAAATGTACAATTACTATCATCAAAGATATTTTAGCTGGAACATAGTCTACAAGATGTTCCGCTTGTATTTGAGAAGGCACACAAAAGTTGTTTAAGGTGTGTGTGTATGTGTGTTTATGTTTTTTCTTGTCCTGTTCGAATGCTTGATATATTGTGCTAGCCAACTGAGATAATATGCCTCAGTCCAACTTTTGTACCCCACTTAGATACAGTACACTGACTCCAAGCTGACCAATCCTCTTTGTGTCCTTAATGCCGAGTATAAGGCAGTTTCTTATTGCGCAGCCAAGGATTAAACCACCAACCTATGCTTACCAGGTAGACTCTATATCCACCAGACCACGGAATCGGTCACCTTGATGCAAACATCCTGAAAATTTTCAGCTGGCCAAATCATGACGTTCAAAACAACACATTTATCAATCAGTAATTTTTTTATTCTCCAAATTCTCTCGCACCATTTGGGATGGGATTTCTACATTAGAACACTCTCATCTCATCTCTCTCTCCAGATAAAAATAACCTCGCAGACATTTTGCCAAAGTTGAAAACTTAAATAGCATAGTCATCAAGATTTGTTCTCTGACAAAGTGCCATTCTTACAGGAGGATACAGGAAAAGACTGAAAACCTGAGAACTTCTAAAGCTTTAATACCTCTAATTTTTTAAAGCAGAAAAGATGGTATCGACTCTAGACTCATTTATTTACAGGCCACCGTCATGTAGCTGGAGTTGCTGAGTGCAGCGTTAAACAACAATCAAAGCCATACTTGAGACGAGATGTTTTTATATACAGAGATACAGAGATATGCTTTGCTTGGAATGAATCCAATGCAGCTTAACAGGCACTGTAGCTCACCTGACTTCATATTCAACACCTTAAATTTTGTTTGTTGTGTAACGCCTCACTCAGCAATATTCCAGCTATATGACGGCGGTCTGTAAATAATCGAGTCTGGACCAGACAATCCAGTAATTGACATCATGAGCATCAATTCATGCAATTGGGATACGATGACATGCATCAACCAAGTCAGCGAGCCTGACCACCCGATCCCGTTAGTCGCCTCTTACGACAAGTATAGTTGCCTTTTATGACAAGCATGGGTTGCTGAAGACCTGTTCTACCACAGATCTTCACGGGTCCAACACCTTAAATAGCAAAACAGCAAGTCTTAAATGTTCCTGGTAGAATTTTCATCTTAAGATATTCATTGGTTTAAGCATTTACTTGTCATACCAAAGACTCAAGATTGGATTCAGACATGGGTACAATGTTTTAAACCTATTAAATCCTGTGAATACATATACTCAAAATGCTGTGTAGTCGTGACTATGTCTATTTCTAGTCAGCAAATAAACTGAGGATGCGTAGGAGTCATGGAAGGAGCCCTTTCCCTGTCCATGAATTTTACAGGAAAACAGTTGATGGAAAACAACTCCATGTTTATTACTAGTACGCTCTCTTATCTACTCCTCAACTTCTAGAATGTCAATCAAACAGTCATGCATTTAATGCTGACCCTATTGTTCCCTGATAGAGTGAGTGAGTGAGTGAGTTTGGCTTTACACTGGTTTTAGCAATATTCCAGCAATATCACGGCGGGGGACACCAGAAATGGGCTTCACACATTGTACCCATGTCGGGAATCGAACACGTGACGAGCTAAGCTAAGCAGAGAACATGGCTGAACGGCTGTTATCATGTTGAATGGTAAATATTGTTGTGTGTGATGTAATCTGAGCATTCATTGGCTCATTTTCGCTGGAACCAAGCCTCCACTTTATCTGTTGGTTACAAATAGCGACTACACTACAAAGCAGCCCTACATATTCAAGGATGATGGAGGAATATAGTGTATACAAATGGTTTTATGTCGCTTTTAGCAATGTTCCAGCCACGTGTCCACCAACACCAGAAATGGGCTTCACACATTGTACCCATGTGGGGAATTAAACCTGGGCCATCGACATGACGAGCAAACACTTTAAAACCACTGGGCTACCCATTTTCCTCAAGGTAAGGGAGTTAACTGACTATAAAAGTCCATTTTCCACCCTTGCCCTTGGATTCCGTGGCTTGATATTAGCGCCACCAGTGGCTATTATGAGTCATGTCCCTTCTATGTCCCTCCTATTGACCAATCAGATTCCACCTCTCATATTACTTGCATTTGCTTCAAACAAAATGGCAGGGACCATTCAAGGCGGTCTGATCGATAATAAAGATATATATTGTTATAAAACAGGTCTTACCTCACAAAATGCATCAAATTACTTGATTTAAAACATGAAAAGATTTGGAAAATATTAGTAGATGCCCAATTGACGATACAAATGCTTTGCAAATCCTTCAATCGACCTGCATGGCAGTTTACGAACCATATGTTGATTTCGTTACAAGATTTTGATTGGACTATGCATTGACTTGTTAGTCCAGCCAAACATAACTCCAAAATTCCAGCGTTATTCGGGAAGGGTGGTAACTGGACTTTTAAAGTCAGTTAAGTCCCTTGCCTCAGGAAGATGTTGGCTACCATACAAAATCTTATGTATCTTGTATGTAAATATATGTACATAAAAATAACATGACAAGACCTTCATATATAATTTACTATTGTATACAAACAATACATCATTAACTGATATTAACTGATAAATGTGCACTGGGGGCCATACCAATAACCATGACACATACCAGACCATTGATAGTTCATCACAAACTATAAGATCTCCCGCACACTGTTTAAAATGACCCTAAACAATCCAAAAACAAAATGTCCCAGACTGGCTGAATGATTCCTTGGATGGAAACTACACAATTAATCATCAATGATATCGATTAATCGGAAGAACACAATCATATCAATATATTGGTAGCTTCAATATTTCGAAAGGTAGTCTGCTGACAGTGATTTTGACTGCAGTTTGTTTCGTGGGTATCAGTGTGTGTGTTACAGGTCACACGATTGGTCAAATCTCACTCATCCCCGGCTCATTTCGGACTAGGTTTATGTATACTAACTAGAGTTTGGATAAAACAACTAGTCCCTCTGGATTTTCACTAGTCTCGGACTACAGGACCAGTGGTCATGTCTATCCCCATGTAAAAAGGCATTATCAAAGATTCTTACAGTTGAATATTTACGTAGATCAAAGAGTTGTCTCTCCTAGAAAATCAGACAAATCAAATTAAATTAACAAAACTAAAAAATTTACCTCCTACATCTCATCTGTAAAGAATTAACATGTTTAAACTAGTTATGTACAAAAATAACATTTCCAGACAACTGTTTGCCACTTTTATTCTTAATTCTGAAAATACATTCTTTTAACTGATAATCAGTTCAGATAGAAATTTGAAGATATTGAGAAAGCACATAAGTTCAGATTCAAAACACAAACTTTCACTTCCACTACATTCTAATCACATAGGAATTTTCTTCTGACTTGAATCGACGAGAACTGGACAAAAGCAATTATGTGTAACATTAATCTGCAACATTGCAAATTTGTAATGGCATTGTAAATAGGTATATTTCCTTTACAAAAACACACTTTTGGATAATTTCCCTCCCCCCAATTGTTAACGGCTAACTAAACCTATGTTGACAAACATTGATGCAAAATTTCAGTTGTTTTAGCAAATACTGAGAAAGAGCAATTTTGCAACATATGCTACTCAAACAAAGTCTGAGAACACACAATTCTTTCATACTACTGTTGTTCTGCTGTCATGGCATGACATATTAACCATAGTCGTATGAAAGAATCAGCTGTTCTTTGACTTTGTTTGAGCAGTATACTTTATATCTTCTGATTGCCTTTAAAAATATTTGAACACTATGAACATTTCCTTTCTCTAGTATACTACTCAACAGACGTTAAAGAACACCCACAATTGGAAGGCTGTGTGATGCACTTCGCACCAGCCATGACAAGTTGACCTTAGCCATATGAAAAAAATGGGTGTTCTTTAACTTCTTTTGAGTAGTATATATACAGTGAGTGAGTGAGTGAGTTGGGTTTAACACCGCTTTTAACAGTATTCCAGTTATATCACGGCGTGTCAGCTTAATGTGGGAGGAAAGCCCGAAGTGATGCAGGTCTCGGACATTTACCTCTTCGGGGAAACCCACAAGCAAGGGTATATGGTGCTGACAAACCTAGAATCATAATCGGGGCGAACCGGGATTCGAACCCACAATCATAGGTTTCTGGCGTGCCTAAGGGATGCAACTCTGCACAGCGAATCGTTGCGCCTTAGACGACTGGGCCACCCGTGCCCCCAGTATATATACAGAATATTGACAGCATAATATCACATGAGCAACAATCCATGCAGTTGGGTTACACAGACAGAAGTCAACCAAGTGACTGAACCTGACTATCTGAAGCAGTGAGTCACCGGGTCTGACCACTCGATGCGTTGATTCAGCGAACCTGACCGCCTGAAGGACTGAGTCACCGGGTCTGACCACCCGATGCGTTGATTCAGCGAACCTGACCGCCTTAAGCAGTGAGTCACCGGGTCTGACCACCCGATGCGTTGATTCAGCGAACGTGACCGCCTGAAGGACTGAGTCACCGGGTCTGACCACCTGATGCGTTGATTCAGTGAACCTGACCGCCTCAAGCAGTGAGTCACCCGGTCTGACCACCCGATGCGTTGATTCAGCGAACCTGACCGCCTGAAGGACTGAGTCACCGGGTCTGACCACCCGATGCGTTGATTCAGCGAACGTGACCGCCTCAAGCAGTGAGTCACCGGGTCTGACCACCCGATACGTTGATTCAGCGAACCTGACCGCCTGAAGGACTGAGTCACCGGGTCTGACCACCCGATGCGTTGATTCAGCGAACGTGACCGCCTCAAGCAGTGAGTCACCGGGTCTGACCACCCGATGCGTTGATTCAGCGAACCTGACCGCCTGAAGGACTGAGTCACCGGGTCTGACCACCCGATGCGTTGATTCAGCGAACCTGACCGCCTCAAGCAGTGAGTCACCCGGTCTGACCACCCGATGCGTTGATTCAGCGAACCTGACCGCCTGAAGGACTGAGTCACCGGGTCTGACCACCCGATGCGTTGATTCAGCGAACCTGACCGCCTCAAGCAGTGAGTCACCCGGTCTGACCACCCGATGCGTTGATTCAGCGAACCTGACCGCCTCAAGCAGTGAGTCACCCGGTCTGACCACCAGATGCGTTGATTCAGCGAACGTGACCGCCTCAAGCAGTGAGTCACCCGGTCTGACCACCCGATGCGTTGATTCAGCGAACCTGACCGCCTGAAGGACTGAGTCACCGGGTCTGACCACCCGATGCGTTGATTCAGCGAACCTGACCGCCTCAAGCAGTGAGTCACCCGGTCTGACCACCCGATGCGTTGATTCAGCGAACCTGACCGCCTGAAGCAGTGAGTCACCCAGTCTGACCACCCGATGCGTTTGTTTAGCGAACCTGACCACCTGAAGCGTTGAGACGAGTGTTCGAAACAAAGAAAAGTTGCTAGGTTGCCATCAGGACTTACAGATTTTAGAAGTGGCAGCCCTGACTGAACTTTTCAGGTCCTCATTTAAAAAAACTGCAGCTTATAGTGACAAATATATAGACACATAAGTTTTCTGCAGGCTATAATAACCCATACAACTTTGAAGCTACAGGCCGACACGAGATGTATCTGCCACGGGCCTACTGGTAGGCGCTTATTATAAAATCTGGTTGAGGCACGTTGTATGACAAGTCTAGGCTTCTCTGTTGGTTTACACTTCCAACAATCAACCAAGTGACCAAGCCTGACCACCCCAGAGATAATAAATACTATAAATACATTGTAAGGTTACTGAGAATGAATATACAAAGTGCATACACAACTGCAACAGACAAATATTGCTTTTCCAGACTTGGCAAATTTGAACTGATTATCATGTACACTTTCTGAACAAAATAAACAACACAAGTGTGGATGTTTCCTCACCATGTTATTCTATAAAATACACGTCCTTTCCTTCGTCCCATGCTTATCATGGACACAAGTGCTCAGGGAGCTATCAAAGGGAGAGAAACAATTGCACAATCTTTTGATTTTGATGATGATATGTCTGGTATTGAAATCATGCATAGACGTGAACATCTTAACTAGATTAACATAGGATACTTCTTAATGAATAACAACTTCTTTACCTTTGTAAAGACGTTTCAGGGCTACTTCTCGCCCCTTTATCTCTACCTGGAACTGTTCGTCAAATAGACTTCACAAATCTTTTCTCAAGTTTTTGCTGACCTTGCCGTGACCTTGATGAACCAGTCGACACAAACAAAACATCTACAGCGATGCCTGTCCTGCTACCATGGCAACCATTGTTAAAATATATCACAATTGTATTTTGGGTCCTTTACATCATGTTCAGGACAAAGGTTCTTAAAGTCTGACCACAACAATGATAGAAGGTGACGTGTTGCCAACACACTGAGAATCAATGAATGGATTTGGGGTTTGGAAATCTGAAAACAAATTACCATTGAGATTCTTTCTGTAAACACATGTAGCCTTGGGAACAGAATACACCAATTAAACTGGGTAATACATGACTCCATGGAAACCAAAATAACACTATGGAAGCCTGCACGACTCCATGGAAACCTGCACGACTCCATGGAAACCTGCACAACTCCATGGAAACCTGCACGACTCCATGGAAACCTGCACCACTCCATGGAAACCTGCGCGACTCCATGGAAACCTGCACGACTCCATGGAAACCTAAATAAAACTATGGAAACCTGCACGACTCTATGGAAACCTGTACGACTCCATGGAAACCTGCATGACTCCATGGAAACCTGCACGACTCCATGGAAACCTGCACGACTCTATGGAAACCTGGCTGATTAATGCAGTAATCCCTAATTCGGTGAATATTGTGTTAAGATTATGTACAGCCATCTGTCATATCAGCCATCCGTCATATCTTTGTTCATAGCTCTAAGATCTGATAGTATACAGCCATCTGACATATCTTTGTTCATAGCTCTACGATCTGATAGTATACCAGATCATGTACATTAATTTCCTTTCACTCAGGCAATGGAAACATGGTTTCTATAGTACATGCTGTATGATATATGGAACTTGTTACTACTTCATGATTAATAGAAACGATAACTGCTTTGGAAACCTGTATGACTCCATGGGAACCTGTATGACTCCATGGAAACCTGAATGACTCCATGGAAACATGCATGAAGCCATGACAACCTGCATAACACATAACACAACAGAAACCTGCACGACTCCATGGAAACCCAGATGACACAATGGAAACATGCATGACGCCATGGAAACCTGCGTGATAACATGGAAACTTTCACGTTTCCATGGAAACATACAGGAAGCCATGGAAACCTGCATGACGCCAGACACCTGCTTGATGCCAAGGAAGCCTTCAGAGGCCTGTTGGGTGAAGCCTCAACTGCAGTTCAGTGATTCTCCTCTTGAGGACATCGCGAGAATTCTGAAATTCGACATCTTTGGTGATAGAGTTAGCATATCCAGCTTCCTTCAAGTGACATTCTAAATGATAGAAGAAATTCTTCATGGACCAAGGATGAAAGTCTTCCCCGTTACTCTTCTTAACCCACTGGAGAAACTCACACAGCATGCCATCCAGCTGCGAGGCCGGGATCGTGTTGATCGGGATCACCTCTTGGCCCTTGAAACGTAGAAAGTTTTCAAACTGACGTACAGCATATCTCCAGTTCTGTTTCACGCGGTATGTTGGATTGCCTCTCCTCTTGCGCGACCATCTGCAAGGTGTGTTGATCAAATCATGCACCTGGTAGTTCGCATTAAGTCCAAACAGTGACTGCTGTGCAGCCGCTGGGTGACCTTCACCCCAGTCCACGTCTGCTACGTCCAACATGGAGTCGTCTATATGCCCTCTCCCAAGGACACTGGGGAAAGGAAAGGATGCGTTTTGTGTGGTGCTGGATGTTGGCATCAAACCATTCGTTCTGGATGTCATGAACATCCCTGGCCTCAACAAATTCACAGGCATTGAGTTAGAAACAGAGCTTGTGGCTGTTGCAGATGGAGAAAATATGGTGGATATTGGTGGCACATGATACGGTCTCTCTTGACTCTCGGACCTGTTGACCCTAGTGGAACTTGTTGACAGATTTGAATGCCTCTGTAAAGACATTTTAGCATTACTGACAATATTTATTCTTTCTTTCAACTGTTGGGCTCCCAGCGACGTCAGCCAAGAGCCACGGTTACCTTGGTTACAAAGCCCAGCACTGCCTTGCACAACCTCATCTTCAAACACCTCCTGTTTGATCTCAATATTTTCATCCTGGTCGTCCGACTCTCCCTTGAGCTGTTGATGGCCCGCACCATCAGGACCTGTAGTGTCCTGTTGCTCTCTGTGTGTCCGTTCCGTCAGTTCAACACCTCGTAACATGCTTGCCTCCTGCCTCACACTCTCATTCACATCGCGACTCGGGAACACCGACTCCACGCTTCTCTCCCTCGGAACACACTGTGATCTGACACTAGGCTGTCTCTCCTCGCTGCCACATCGGAGCTGAGTCACAGATCCATCTCTAGGAGTATTCTCCTTATCTTGAGCACCTGTCGGTGCTGTTGGGTGGGCAGTCTTTACACCAGCTCCCTGAACCGTCTTCAGCACCTTAGTACAGAAGCTCTCACTGACCGTCTGCCCCTGCTTCTGAACCAACTCACTGAGAACGTAGCGCTCCTTCTTGCAATTGTCAAGGTCAAGGCAGATGTAACCACTGACCTCCACGACCTGGTCAAAGGTCAAGTAGGACTTGCACAGAAGCTGGACGTGTTCCAAGAAAGAGTTGAAGAACTTTGCTGAATGCTGGGTCTCCATTATAATTCTGTCAGTGTCTTGTCACTAAAAACCTGCAACAAGGAAAACGTCTCTTAAAGGGCAAGTTCACAAGGAAATGAACCAATTTTTCTTGTACTTTTTCCACATTAAAAGTGTTAACATAGAAGTGTCATAGACAAAAATATAAAAACATCATATTTAATTAACATATTTTTTGCATTAAAACGATTTATATTTTTCACATTTACCAAGTGTTCTATTTCCATAACAAAAACACCATGGCTTATGCCCCTTGCAATATGACGTCATTGGTGCCAATTGATAAACATTATGACGTCATCATGCTTTGTTAGAGCCGCTTCACGTGGTGTAGGTACAGTTTTGTGATTCTAGCGTCTCAGATGCCAGCCAGAATTGTGTTATGCTGAGTCACTACTGCGCCAGAGTGTGTCGTAGACCATGTTGTTTGACCGCAAACTGGTCCTTGATATCTTTTGCGTTGAGAATAGACAGGGACCCAGTTGAATTGGCACCAATTACGTCATAATCTAAGGGGGATAACTCAGGCCTATTTCGCTCGTCAAACGAAGGCCTCATAACGGCATATCATTTTAACACTATTGTGAGCTTCCTACTTTCACTGTGAAAAAAAATTAGTGTATATTTTCAAACACAGATACTAATTAATTCTAAAATTGCGTTTTGTTTAGAAAAAGAAAGAAAGTGATTTTTGCGTGTACACTTCCCCTTTAAACATCATAACTATCTGTTTATCAATAGTATCAATAATAGGGTGGCATGATCAGGTATCACTATCGTAATCACAATTACAATTCCAAAATAATATCCATGATGGAATAATAATCTATAATGTTTTTGCTCTGTCAAGGTAAATTTTAATTATGAACATCTGACCAATTGTATTGATATAGCCATCTATCAAACAACACTTGTTAGGTTTAGCTGTTCTAGTCCTAATCTATTGGTAGAGGCAGGTATGCATTATGAAATACCAAGGCCAGAATGCCTATGTCCCTTTTGTATTGTGCCACATATACCAACTGAATTCCACTTTTGTCTACTCGAATTTAAGGGAACAGGTACTTCCTAAATATTATTGCATAAGTCCAACTCTGAATAAACTAAGACAATTATATAGATCCAACCTCTATGTTATAAGAAGCTTTGCAAAGCATGTATTTCTTGCTCTCAAGAAAAGTAACATTCTTCTTAAAGATGTGCCTGTTATGTAGTACCATGCCATTGTAACAATGTGAGACTGGTGGTTGCCAGTGTGTGGGGATCCGATCCACGGGGCGGTCGTATGTTATGATCGGCCTCAGTAACCTTTCGTGCATCCTTCTCAGCACTGAGTGTTGATGTGTTCGTAGCTTGCGGGGGCCTTGTGAATCTGTCCCCTAATGTAATAGTCAGCTTTGTACAGGTGAACTGATCAATCCAATATACCTTGTATAATGGGTCGGTGGCCCCTTTACGGAATAAACTCATTCATTCATTTACAATCCCAAAATGCCCTGGTTCACTGACCTTATTTAACATATGGTCAAGGTCGGACACGTGTGCCATTTCCTGGGATCAGTGGACTGCATGGGTAGTGGTTAGAGAGTGAAGGGAGGAAGCTCTGTCTTTAGTCTGGCTTTTGAACTTTTCTGATTGATACCAACATGACTACAAATCAGGAGCATTTTGGATAACAACTGTAGAGTATTAACTAACGATAGTTTTTAATTTCATTACTTTTGATCATTACTCTCTTATCATGTACATATCATGCATATCATTAAGATATACGTGGTCTTGTGGATAGAGTAGTCTGCCTGAAGAACGGAAGGTCAGTGGTTTGATCTCCGGACGCATCATACCAAAAGACGTTCAGAGATGGTACTTGTTGTTACCTTGCCTGGCACTCGGCATTAAGGGGATACTATGTTTGAGTGGGTTATCGATGTTAAACTGTGACATGGTATCTCCTTGGGTTATCACTATAAAACCAGACAGACAGACAGACACACACACACTAACACCACCCACCCACACACCCACCCACCCACACCCACACACACACACACACACACACACACACACACGTGCATCTATGTCACTATAAAAGGGCAATAATCATGAACGTGACGTTAAACCCCATTTCATGTCACCACAATAAGATACATCATGTTCTACCATGACATTAATGTCAGCTCAGGCTAGTTTCCCCATAACAGGAACCAGGATGTAACCTAATTGTCTGGTTAAGAAAAGCGAATCCACTGCATAGCGGCTGCATGTATTTACGGGCAGTGGAGCTATGCACTGTATACAAACCTATGAACCCCCTGAAAATCAGATCTTTGCACAATTGTCATATTGATCACTCCCCAGATGCAGCACACCATAATGACATACCATATTCTACCATGACATCTTAGACTCCTGCCTTCTGATTGGTCTGCGGCTGTATCAGCCCTCCATTTGACAATAACTTTTGCTTATGACCCCATCACCACAATATCTGAAAGCACTTCTACCACAAACACAACCAATAGGCAATATCACATGCTCATTGTACTTATAAAACCTTTAACAAAATACAGTGTAGTGGATTTGTTTGTTTTGTTTGTTTATTGTTTAACGCCTCACTCAACAATATTCCAGCTATATGACAGCGGTCTGTTAATAATCGAGTCTGGACCAGACAATCCAGTGATTGACATCATGAGCATCCATCCACGCAATTTGGATCGATGACATGCCTCAACCAAGTCAGTCGCCTTTTACAACAAGCAGTCACCTTTTAGGGAAAGCATGGGTTGCTGAAGACCTATTCTACCCCGGATCTTCACGGGTCCACTGTAGTGGAGAATAGTTTATCTAAGCAAGTAAGGAAATACAACTTAAGCAGATATCCAGATGAACAGCAACTAAAGAATGTGATGCAGAATTGAGTGACATCAACACAGCTTGACATTTGGTGCCACTATCTATGTGACATGATGCTGATACAACGTCACAGAGCTAAGGCATCCTTGGCATAAACATGGACGTCAGAATGGTGACGTGTACAGTAAACGTTTATAACGAACACGCTATAACGAACTGATGGATATAACGAACTGTTTTTTGGTCCCAGACATTTGTTGTATATTTTATGATATATAATTGATGGAAGTAACGAACACATTTATAACGAAATAACGGATATAGCGAACTTATTTTGTGATCATGTGTGTACTCTGTGAATAACAATGCTTATGTTTATAACGATCTGTTCATCTCAGAGCTGCACACATGTCAGTATGCGCGGCTGTTCAAAGTGGCAACAGACAATTGTAGGCAAGTGATTAACTGGATAAAGTACTGATACCTTGTCCTCAATTTGCACCTCAACTAACAATTGATTCTTGTGTCTGTATGTCAATGAAACTATCACTACTATATTTGTATTTTATGTCATTTATGGGACGTCTGCTAGTTGAAATACTTACAACGAAATACAGTTATAATGAACTAAACCTTTGAGTTCCTTATAGCCGTACTTTACTGTACTTTCACACTGAACATTTCTTGGGCTGCTTCATTTCTTCAAGGGGGGGGACAGTTTGGACAATGCCTAAGGGTATCTGAACTCGAGTGAGTGAGTTGGGTTTTACGCCGCTTTTAACAGTATTTCAGTTACATTGCGGCGTGTCAGCTTAATGTGGGAGGAAAACCCGAAGTGATGCAGGTCTCAGACGTCTACCACTTCGGTGAAACCCATGAGCACAGGTAGGTTCTGACAAACCTAGAAACATAATCAGGGAGAACCGAATTCGAACCCACAATCATAGGTTTCTGGTGTGCCCAAGGGACGCAACTCTGCACAGCGAATGGCAGCGCCTTAGACAACTGGGCCACCCATGCTAAAACAGAACATCAACTAATGAAATAAAAGTATTGTATCGGGATATAAATCAGATCACACATGTTGAACATGTTGAATCAGGATATGTATCGTATCGCAACCCACCTTATCGTTAGGCTTACACTAGCTTCTACCATTGGTACATTTCGATGGTACCATAGTCAAGATAGACCCCATCATCCCAATATAGCTACAAACTGTAGATCTATGTAGGCCGACCCCATAACCTATACACACCTGTATGAAAAGAATTAATAATATGCTAAATAACATAATACACATGGTATTCAACAGTGGAGTACGGCACCCTGAACAACATCTTGATTATTTCAATGGCACCTATGCCAGTTCTTCAGAAGGCTATTTTCTTTTTCTGCTATTGACATAAATAAGGTAAATGTATGGGTATCTTTCCCGAAATTCAAGCTCTTTTCTACGTCCATAATATGATACACCGATTGAGTTTTCCGCGTTTTTTGTACCCGATGTCAGGCCACGCTAACAAACTCAAACATAAATCTAAATAATTATCTTCACGCTTTGTCCTAAACTTCAAACTGTCACTGATTTATTCATTTGTTTCAGTGTCAGTTATCTATTAATATTGTCCAACATAACACGGACACAAAGTCAATCACCTGATCTTGCAGCGTTATGTCATCATTGCATATAATTATTGCCGTTCATTTTCCGTATTTACTGTCAATGAAGGGAAAACGTGTGTACAAAGAGGCGCAACTCTTTTGCCAAACAGCTGCCGGAATAATATACTATACACCTACAACTATCAACACTACCATTTCTGACGCTTCGCGTTCTGCTGACTCCGACGTGAATAATCACAAACCCTAATGAGATCATGTCCACATGGTCACACCCGGTGATTGTTAAGATCACAAATATACAGTCGGACAACATGTCAGTCTATATTCATTTCCAATGTCCTCCTATAATTAGATGTAAATGTTAGAGTGGGCCAACAAACTCATTCATTCTTACAGAAATATAACCAAAAGTGGGGTGTGGGGAAAGTGTCCATGTGGGGAAATGTCTTGACCCATGTCTCTTCACAGCTGCACTGGATACGAAGACAAATTTGACTTGTCGATTTCAACTTTTTTTTCTTTCTGTGGTAAACTCAGTGCTGTTTTCACTAATACTACGGCTTCAAACATGATATTTTTGGGATAATATCGGCAATGGAGACGCCATTGAGATAATGCCAAACAGCTGTAAATAAATTTGGTTAAATTGTCTTTGAATATGGATGTACATTATATAATAGAATGGAACAATAGAGAAATATAGACAGGTATTGTGGACTTCCTTGAGAGTTTCCGTATATTGTTTCTTCAGAGTCCGAGTTATTTGTTTGCTTGTTTGTTGTTTAACGCCGCACTCAGCAATATTCCAACTATTTCTGTAAATAATTGAGTCTGGGGCAGACAACCCAGTGATTGACATCATGAGTATCGATCCACACAATTGGGATACGATGACATGCATCAACCAAGTCAACAAGTCTGACCACCCGATCCCGTGAGTTGCCTCTTCCGACAAGTCTCCGGGTTGAGTTCACACCGTGTTCTGAGAACTAAAATCAAACCGTCCATCTGCCGTCCATTAGCCCCCCATCAACGTAACAATGCGTTGGCCGCATTAGATTATGGACACACGTGACGTTGAATATGATGGTGTCATGTCTGCAAATAGTGGCAGTGGTCGTTATGTTGGTGCAGGTAGTCTAACACTAATGATGTTAAGGGCGAGACCTTACTCTATTCTTCATTGACGAGGGGGCACTGGTGGCCCAGTCGTCTAAGGCGCTGCAAATCGCAATGCAGAGTTGTGTCCCTTTGACACGCCAGAAACCTGTGATTGCGGGTGATATCGGTTCGCCCCGATTATGTTTCTAGGTTTGTCAGCACCATACCCGTGCTTGTGGGTTTCCCCAAAGTGGTAAATGTCTGAGACCTGCATCACTTCGGGTTTTCCTCCCACATTAAGCTGACACGCCGCGTGATATAAATGGAATAATGTTAGAAGCGGCGTTAAGCCCAACTCACTAACTCGTCGTTGACGATGATGGTAATGGCAATGGTGGAGATTTTACGAGCGCTTCCAGAGGATCCGATTTCGCACTCTGGGCATATCTGTAACATGTGATCTGTTTGTTTGTATGTTGTTTAACGCCGCACTCAGCAATATTCCGGCCCTATGACGGCGGTCTGTAAATAATCGAGTTTGGACCAGACAATCCAGTGATTGACCTCATCAGAATGTATCCACGCAATTGGGATCGATGACATGCATCAACCAAGTCAGCGAGATAAACCACCCGATCCCTTTAGTCGCCTCTTACGACAAGCATAGTCGCCTTTTATGATAAGCATGGGTTGCTGAAGACCTATACTACCCCGGATCATCACGGGTCTGAAACATATGAGAGAAATTGTGAACAAATATTTAATTGATTCAAACATATTCATTTTCGCAAAAATATGAAAAATGGATTGGTAAACAAGCGAGTAGCTTATGTTCAATAATATCAATATGTCAAACATTCCCGCCAGGGGCTTTAGGATGAAGGTAGAGTAATTACAAGAGAGTGAGGGGGATATTTGGGGGCCTTGTAAGTTACCCGAGTCATGTTCCTGGAGTTGTTTTTGTATGAGGGTGGGTTTTTTGTGTTTGGTAAGGTAGTTAGGTTCTACTGTTTTGGGGTATTTTATGAGATACTTGCCTAGGTGACAATATATAGTTGGATAATTTAGTGAGGAGTTGCAGAATTGCAGTAATGTTTGTGACGATTTTACTGAAGAAATGGTTGCGGTGTAGTTTATAATGTTCACGTTGAAATATTTCGTGGTCTAGGACAATGAGGGCAGGTTAAGTTCGTGTGCCCCGTGAGGAGTCTAGTCAGGGCTGTGTCTTTTTTATCGCCAAGGTCATCCGACACGGATTAAGCGATAAACGTAGACAACAGGTACTAATGAGCAGTGACATTCACAGTTTGTTCAGGGTGTCTGACAGAATATATACGAGACAATAAGAGACAGGGAGGCGGGGGGGGGGGGGGGGGGGGGGGGGTGCAAAGGGGATTAGCGTCTTATGAATAATTCTAGTGACTCTAACTGATTCGAGTCTTGGCTACACGGTGATTATCCTTTGGGATTAAAAGTTCATTCCGACAAAGGTTGTCTTAAATCGGTCGCTATGGCAATCGGATTCTCAGGGCTGATTTCAGTGTGGTGCTTGAAATGACAGCTAATTACTCTAAATAATTGTAAAATATCGAACGATGCATTATCAAGCAACATGCTTAGGGGTACTAGAATTTACCCGTTTTCCTATTTTGATTTATTTTTGCGCCATATATGTTGTGTTTTTCATTTCAAAAGAAAGAGGCGCTTCTACTCATGATCACTGATGTCATGATATTCGTCAGTCATAACGTATATTGTTACTTTGCTAAATCGTCGAGCACAGGCATTTTAGGACATATTAGGAAGGTCAACGAGCTTTCATGCGATCACTATTTGCAATATGTATTATTAAATCGCTTAACAGCTCCATTCATTATCATCATGTTTACTCATAGTACATAATAATCCACCATGAAGGACCATAAATTCATCATCTCCTTTACAAATCTGACCGTAAAACGATCGTAATAACTTACGGCAGGTAAAAATTAATACAAATTGTTCGAGTCAAGTTGAAATAGGAAAAATGTTGAGTATCGTTTGAGGGTTTCTTTTTGAAATTCTGATCAATATGAATAGTTTTTTAGAAAATCGTACATGAAAATTATCTCCCCCTTGTATTTGTTTCCGTTTTTCTCCTGTGCTGCGAGAAAATTTTCTGCAAAGAACAGCAAGATGTTTACGTCATTTAATCGGTGAACATTATTGTTTTCTGTAATAACTTATCAACGTTTATCCTAATTAGTATTTGCAAATACCATCAAACCACAAGAGAAACCAAGCCTTCTGAGCATTGAGCGCGCACCTGCTTCGAAATAGCGGCGCTTCAATCACTTCGATAGCCAAACCCAAAATTTTACGATTATTGCTTTAGTGTTGTCAAGTTTGGTTTGATTTAAAAGTGCAATCGTTTGTTCATACCAGTATATATAATAACAGCTCAGAATACGCATGATTTCCGCTATGACATTGGTGTTAAACCAAGCCTAAAAATTTAGACCAGTCACGAAAAGAAAGATCGTCATACATTTCAAAATGTTCAGTGTAATATCCGTTATCTCGTGAAATAACAAACGAATAACGCTTAAGAGTTAAATATGTCGTTCAGATATGACAAATATTTCAAATATATTATCATTCTGCAGCTAAACCACTCTGTCGGTTTGTGTTATGAAAGCAAAATGTGTGATGTGGTCAAATTGTGAGATTCTCTCTCGCAACTCTTTTTTGTCAATACATATATATCATTAAACAATATCAACTAAATACCTTGAATGATGAATTTGGATATTCCACGCGAACTAGTGATCTAGTCCTATGCATGTTCATCAACAACTATTCTCATCCTTTTCACTATCAATTGTTGTCGAGAGAGCAAAATGCTAATTTTGGAAGTACTAAATTGATTGTATGTTTCTTATAGTGACACCAGCTGGTGACATGAAGTGTAGTTTCAGTGGTATCTGAACACGTTAAGATCAGGGAATACTGGCATCATGTTGAATTCAAGCACATGAAGCAGTTACTAATTCCAGTAGGGGTAAAGATTAATCTGAAATGTTGAATAGTGATGATATGTAAGGACCCCCTGATAGAATCTGGGGCTCTACTTACACTAAGGACGCATTTAACATAAGATAACTGATTAGTACTATCCTAACATGCAGCGATGCCAATCATTACGATTTGGGTGTAATGAGTGAGAAAAAGGTAGATGGATGAACTAATTAATTATTTACAATGAGAAGAATTTCTATAAAAAAAGGTTAATAGTGTTACATAATGGATTTTTTTAACATGTGGAGCTTTGACCACATGTTTGACTTACATCTTGGCCAAACAATAATATCGAAGCAAAACCCATGCATCTTGGTACTGTTCACATTGCTCTTTTTCACATGAAATTACGTTGTTGTTTTTATCTCAATGTCCTCCAAAGCTTCAACTAGGGTTGGCATCCCTGCAATACTGATGTGGTCATCATAAAATAACAAGTTATTCATGGTCAGCACTATGCTGATATATTTTCTACTCCTTCATACTCATGTATGTAGGCTATTGACTAAAGTGTATGATGTATCCCTTTGACCTTCACGACGCATGATTTCTGTCTAACATGACGTATCCAGATGTCATGTCTGCCATGCATTGCGTCAAACATAACATTATTTTCAACTACATATTATTTAGCGCATTTATAGTTTTGGTCGTTTATAAAGTCAGCGATCTTCAAATTGAACAGTTCGGTCTCCAATTTTGACATTTGGCCAAGGAAAATTTGACGGTGGGTACCTATTTATTAAGCCTATTGTTCTATGACTTTCTCACTCTGTCACTGCACAAGACTATAACATACGCTTTTCATAAATTTCTGAATTGTTTTGCTTTCCATCCCTTGCTTTTGATCAACAAGGTCAATGAAGGGCTAGCGGAGGTTAGCTGCTGTTTAGAGTTGCCTCCCCTGGTTGTACTAATTTGCCTTATCTTAATCTCGTTATAGTATGATCTTGACTCAGTTGCGATTCCTCTCTGCGTAAAGATCTGACCAACTGTCCATAGGAGGTCGTGTGAGGTAAACCCTGATTTTAACTTTAACCACCCAATCTAAATGAAGGAGGCATAGGTTCTTCAGCCAATCAGATGTCGGGTTTCTAAAATATTGTTTCATTTCTTTACCACCTCAAGTTCAATTTTCACGAAGGCAAACACACAGAGAAACAAGTACATCCTTGACAGTAGACCTTGGTTGTAGAAGCAGAGACACTCAGAAACGACAGGGGCTATAAAATAGCCACAGGATATAATCTAATAGCACAACCTTTATTATTTTCCATTCAGAAGTGCCTGTTTAGATTCTTTTTTTGAGACTGAAATCAGATATACTGTCTGAATGCTTTTCTCACTGGTACCGAAAATTTAGATGCCTCATCGCTGATTGGCTTATTACAAAGTGCCCCTGATGGTCCTATGGAGGGTTATTTAGACATTGACGGAAAGAGGTATCGTAATGGAGAGGAAGGTCTGATTGTAATGAGATTGCTTCATCATTCCTTTAGGGTGATTACTGTAATACAAAAAGTAAGAATCAGGTATTTTGTGCATCAGATGTGACTTTAGAGCTGAACATTCTTGTCATAAATTTTTCAAAAGCAACTGTCTATCATGAAAACCAGCCAACTATTTACTAATGTTGTCCGTTATCTTGTCATATCTTTATTCCTGATCGTATTTACCACATGGAGACCAAGTTTATAAGAGGTCCCCAAACACTCTATTGCTTGTAAGATACCTAATTTGGAACTTGTGGGGATTCTGGGTAATAATATTGGCCCCAGCAACTATGCTTGTCGTAAGAGGCGACTAAATGGATAAGGTGGTCAGGCCCGGTGACTTGGTTGATTGCATGTCATTGTATCCCAATTGAGTGGAGCATGGCTCATGTCAATCACGGGGTTGTCTGGTCCAGGCTCAATTATTACAGACAGCTGTCACATAGCTAAAATATTGCTGAGTGTGGCATTTAACAACAAACAAGACTAATGTGGATCAGGTGGTCAGACTAGGTCTTCATGACCTAGAGCGTGTTTGTTCATGCTATCAACCTCCCAGACTCGGGTCATTTACAGGCCACTGTAGCATAACTGGTATAGTGCTGACTGTGACGTATGGCAACAAACAAGAGTAGTCGTTTTTAGGCCTCTATGAAACCTCTGTAGTGGTGGATGCATGACAAGTAGGGATATTCTATTTTACATAGGCAACAGAATTTATTGTAACAAAGCTTCTGTAGAGCATGCTTCCAGCTAGCCAACATCTGAATTAAGTTTCTTTTAATATTGGCAAAATAATACAGGGTTCTGGAAACATGCTTTTGAAAATGATCATCTGTCACTTGTCATGTAAAGGGACCGCCTCCGTGGTCTAGTGGTAGAGCGTCCGCCCGGAGAGCGGAAGGTCCGGGGTTCCATCCCCGGCCGCGTCATACCGAAAGACGTTAAAGATGGTACTTGTTGTTACCCTGTCTGGCGCTCAGCATTAAGAGGCTAAAACAAGGACTGGTTGGCTCGGAGTCAGTATACTGTGTCTGAGTGGGGTATTCATGTTAAAACTGAGGCATGGTATCTCAGTGGGCTAGCACTATAAATCGGCATCAGTCCGGACTAGTACAAGCAGCCACACACACACACACACACACACACACACGTGCATGCACGTCGCTATATAAGTGCAATAATCTTGGACGCAACGTTAAACCCAATTTCACCTCACCTGTCATGTAAAGGGATGGCACATCTGTGGCAACCTTTTGTATATAGTTTATGTCTTTGAAGTTAAGGACTAGTTGGCTGCTACTAACTGCCTCCAGCAGATTAGTTGATGGGAAAAGTCTTCTAGTTACAATTTAACATGGGTTTCACTGGAGCAGTAAATGTTTCAGGCATGATATCTGTGATGCTATCGCCCTCTATAACTGCACTGTCAGTTCCCCTTGCAGAGAACTGTGATCTTGGATACGACTGCAGATAATGTAGAATTCATCTTTAGGATTCACCAACCAGTGATTACAAATTGACATTAGTCACAGGGAGTGGATTGTTGAGGGAAACATTTTCTTCAAAGGCTGAACTCACACTCTGTTATCTACGGAAAATAAACTGGTCTTCAGTTTCATTTACAGAAATATATTGCTTTTCATTTTGATTTCACAGCACAAAAGTCATGTCTCTATCTCAACTCCTCAACATTATTACCGTTAATATGTCACTGTGTGCAGTATCTGCTTCCAGAGAAATGTTATAGTATTCAAGATAATCTGCTCTTTCATATTATTAATTACTATGAGTGTTGCTCAGCTTTTCGACAGCTGAAAATGTGAATTCCTTCTGTTTCAGAAACTGATAAGACGGACAGGTCAGCCGACAATGGACAAGCAGTATTCAGTGAAGTTCTTCACCAGCTTTCTTGAGAGCCTTCAAGACCACTGTAACACCTTCTTGGAATTCAACCACCTAGTTGAGGTCAGTGGCTATGTTTGTGTTGAGATCGACAACGTGAAGAAGGAGCGTTACGTCCTCAGTGAGCTGGTACAGAGCTGTGGCAATGTGATCAGCGAGAGCTACTGCACCAAGGCTTTCAAAACACCAGCCACAAAGATCAGTGAGAATTCCAAGAAGTACTTGCCTCAAGGCACCAGGGAAAAGGATAGGAAACTGAAATTGAAAGCTGTTGGCCGGACTGATGTTAAATCTCAGAAAACCCCAGACAATAAAAGGGGTGGGGAGTCTGTGCAAGATGCTGGGCTTGGGTTTAAAATAGCATCTGTATCATCTCTGGCTGTGACAGCAAAGGAAATGTCACCCACAGAGGAAAGCTCGGTGAATCAGGATGAGCTTAAGGAGAAAACAGATGAGCATAAATGGAGTTTAAAAGAAAGTCCACACACATCTAACATATTCCAGCCTAAATCAAGTCAGTACTCACAGGAGGGGTGGGAAGGGAGAGACACCTTCGTGTATAATATTCCTGCAGATAAACCAAAGAATTCAGGTACTGTCCAGCTCATGAACAGTGAAAATAAACTGTCCGAATCGTCCCAAGTTGAGCCCCGTTCTCCTTGGCCTGAAGACCAACAAAACCTTGACCTTGACCAGCTTCTGAGTGAAGGCCAGGAGTGGACCTCCAATACAGCACAGAC